AACTATAGAAGAAAATTTAAAAGGACTAAGAGATTTACACTTAGATATATGTGAATTAGTGAAAGTAATAAACGATTATCTGGGAGATTCTGTGCTTGTTACACTAGCAATGTGTTTTATGCACCTGCTAGCAAATTTATATATGGCTGGTATCATTCAGCAATGTGTGAAACAAACTACCCATTCAATGGGATTGCTTGTGTTGTCTATTGTTCATTGTCTGCCCGACGTTTTGATCATCGGAATTTTATGCTATCGTGGGGAAAAAACGAAAAAATATGTACGTATAGTAATAGTATATTAAGTAACAAGTGGCTAAACGAGGGCATTTAACAACGTTTAGCCACGAGGTGCTTACGCTATTTTTTTTTTACTTCCACTCTAGTTCCACGTTGCGGTTCTTGTATTTCAACTTTTGTACATATTTTAAATCATCGAAATTTGATCGCACACTTATACAAACTGTAAGGTTATAAATGCCGTGCCGCGCACCGGCCCATATGACGCTTCGGTTCATATCGTGCCCCGTCGATACGAGTAGCAGCAGCGCCAGCTTTGACGTGTTTGACTGATGTCACATGGCATTTCATACCGCCTTGTGCTGCTCCGTAGGCAAATGCGCAGGCGCTTGCTCCGTTCCGTGTATAATGCAAGTACATAATGAATATTATGTACGGCTCGGCCGTCCGTATATAAAGTACCACTTTTTGTGTCTAAAAACCGTGAAAAAAACTGGCACTTTATAGGTGGAAGTAGAGAAAAAATATTAATATAAGAAATATATTAATTTCCTATTTCTAGGCATTGGAATGTGGGCACTGTGTGCATTCACTTGCAATTAATTCAGAAAATATCCAATTTGCAGTCCGCATGACTTCGATACAAATATTAAACTCAGATGTGGAGTTCACTGCGGCTGGAATGATCGTTTTAGATTTTAAGTTGATATTTGCTATTATTGGCACTTTAACCACCTATTTAATTATTTTGATTCAATTTACATCAAGCGATAATTCCATGTGCTATTTTGTTGAACCAGTTAAAGTATTAAATGTACCCAAATAAAGTGTTTATATAATAAACACATTAATTTACGTGAAGTATAAGCAAAATATAATCATCAGTAATTAAATATTTTTTGTATCACCTTCTGAAAGGTACGTTCAATAACCCTTGGATGAATAATAAATGTCTAGACGTTCTTAATTTTTTGTCCTACTTTTTATGTAAAAATAACCAACTTATAATAGTTTATTCCATTTCAAATAATAAGCAGTCATAAACAACCAAACAGTAAAGAAACTCAGTTTTTTTCAAAAGAAAATTTCTTCAAATATGCACAAAATATCAAGGAATTTACAGCCTATATTATTCCTAGCAAAGTTTTTATTGGTATCACCAATTTGTTCATTAAATTATCCAAAAATACGTTTGATGAGTTTAATTTTATCAATACTGGTTGCAATTTTGCAAGTAATTGGCTATATTTATGTAGCATTCGTTCATTTCTTCTTTTGGAATTCAAGATTAGTAAACATGATTACACATATCAATGTGTGTATAGCATCATTGTGCACTATTGTACTATCAGCGAATGCATGTATGTACAACGACCGATTTGAAGAAGTTTTGAAAAAAATGGTTCATATCGATTGTCAATTGAATTGGATTAGTTACAGAGATACCAAAAAACACATGTTAATTTGTTTTATCGTATGGGTATTAAATTCCATAATCATTATAATTGAAATTGTTGCAAATTGGATGTGTAAGACTATAAGTACGGAGATGCCGTTCATGTTTTATCTTGTTTACAACCTGACTTGCATATCATCCGGTGGGTTTGTTATTATTTATTCTACATTTGTGCAATTTATTGAAGAACGCTTCGAGTACATTACGAAAAAAATTAAACATCTGCCGAATATTAAAGAGCAATTAATGTTTTTCGCAACTTTTAACGACTTGGCTAGTTGCCATTTGGACACTTGCGAATTGCTCGATATGATTAACAGATTTTTTAGCGTTTCTGTTTTTGCGATTGTGGCAATGTTCTTCGTGCATTTATTAACTAATTTATATATGATTGGCGTAATAGCAAAATGTGCCGTGAACTCGAATTTGCCAATGGCGTCTCTTACAGTGTCTGCCACACACTGTTTACCAGGAATTTTCGTTTTTGGACTCTTGTGCTATCGCAGTGGAAACGCCACAAAATACGTATGTTTAATGCAATTTACTTAGGTCTATTACGCATAATCTGTGGATAGGTATTAATTTTGAGATTTTTATAGGCATTGCAAAGTGGATTATACGTCCATTCCTTATTTATTAGAGATGAAAAAGAGAAAGATGTGGTGCTTATGTGTTCAATGCAAATATCAAATTCGGATGTTCACTTTACGGCTGCCAATGTTATTGTTCTGGATTTAAAATTAGTGTTTGCAATTATTGGAACTATCACAACTTATTTAATTATTTTAATACAATTTAATTCTAATGATAATGCATGTTATAATACCTAGTAATATATTAATGTGAATAACACAGGAAGTGTATTAAATATTTAATGTGTGTGAAACACAACGTAGAAAACACAGCTGCAAATTGAAAGTAGTGTATATTAGTGGGTATTCTTTGTTAAAGGCTGATTAAGAACGAAAAAAATAACATGAACATAAAGAAAATTGCTGATAAAAATATAGAATTAATATAATTAACCTTTTGTATAAAATTGTTAAGATTTTTCCTGCTCCTCCTGCAATTTTTAAAAAAATATTTTTTTTGTTTTTAGACCAATAGGTACACGAGTAGGAAGATTAATTTTTCGGCGAGTAAAATGTTAATCTATTCATTCTGATACAGTTTATATGTTCAAAGATTTCGTATTTTAAACTGAATAATAAATAACAAGCCCAGAGGTATATTGATGAAACGTTTTAAACATTCTTATACTCGTAACATGCAATCAAGATCAATTAAAATTGTTTATTTCTCATTGTATTTATAACATTTAAGTACCCAATAATTATTTTATAAAAAATTATAAATTGTTTTAAATGTAATTGGTGCAAATTTATGTATTTAACTATACCTAAAAAACAAAATGGGCTCCTTGGTATATTCCTTAGTTTCATATGATATGTATATGCACTGCCATTTCATTTCAGTGGCATAAATCATTTTTAATATCTGTTCAATGATCTCTAGTGTTATTTAAAACGGTAAGTGTTGACCAGACTGTTTTAAAAATCTACAAGTAATGATTACTTATTATAAAAATATCTTCGTATATATTAAATACATACATTTCCCATCAAAACATGGTTTACGCTTGTTATACCACCGGCAAGAACTTGTAATGGATCCTGGGCTTTCACCAAAAGAAGTTTCATATCCTTAGCAATTTTGACGTCTTCGAAAGGCATAGATTTAAAAATAGTATAATGCAATTTTTCAGTCTACAACGTAGAAAATCCATTAATTGGTACTATCACATATGATGTATTATATATCATACAAATGTGGTCAAACGTTCGCCACTAACACAAGTTAAAATGACAACTACAACGTATGACAAGAAATGCATCATTGACGACAACATCATGTCCTTAAAAAATAAAAAAATATTATTAACAAAAAAAACATTTTTATTAATATTATTGTGTAGGTATACTTTACTCATCAGTTGAAATACAATCACACTCATATTGATAGGTGTGACACACAAATGCAAAGCATATGCTTTTCCAATAGCATTGTTCGTTTTCGAATTTATGCTATAATATCAAAATAAAATAATAATAACATTAGATATATGAAAACTTACTCCATTAAAATATCGTGATATCGCACAATTCTTCCAACTAAAGCATGTCTCTCCTGCTTTTTAACCTTGGGAATGCGTTCAACAATGCTCTCCAAATGACTATACCGTAGAATTAACACCTCATTGAGGAATACGACTTGGGAGATATTGCACATGGCTATAGCTCCGCCAGTATATGAGCTCAGACATTGACAAACCAAGACAATTGATCGCCATGGCCTATTATAAATGTCAATGTAAGGCAAATAGGGCGTGAAAATAAATCCACAATTACTGACTTCATCTGGCTCGCATTTATCAGTGATGTAAAATACAAACGTGATCAAGCAAGTCACCACAAAACTTAGAATACATAAGTAAATGTATTTTGTAAACAATTTGTCTAATGCTTCCACACCTCTTGCTCGGCCTAAATCAGGGTCTTGAAAATTGCCCAGTTTCTTACAAATTGCATCCAATTCTGGAGTAAATATGGTAATGTTTATTAAAACGTAAGTGACTGTTTCGGTTGTTAATATAACCGCAATATCATCAGCAACGTCAAAGAATGAAAACGAATTGTTAGCTGCAAATCAAAATTAGATATAGAAACTTATTATGTGGATATAAATATGTATACATACACAGATAGTGTATTATATGTCCCACTTGCCCAAAACAAAGCATGTGAAAAAAACACACAATTGGAATAATTTTAATATACGTGAATAAATTGATTTTACTTGGTCTAAAACCAACCGGTGCAAGGAAATTTTTAGCTGTTTGATTCAGATGAAGTTTATTAACGTTCGTGTCGTAACATTTGAAAAAATTGCAAATCTTTTCAACCGGAATTTCCATTTTTTGTTTGGTATATAACTTTACAAGGAACTTATTAAATGAACAGCACGCCTAGTGAAGGTAAAGGTCAACTGATAAATATACATCCTTGCAAGTATTAGAATATTAAGTATTAAGAATGAATAACAGAACATATTATAACATCATTATTGTGTATTTGTATTATTAATAATTTGATAATTAGATATTTGTCATTTATAGGTAGGTACCTACATACTACTTACGTTAGAGATAAAAGAATTCTATGCTTAATATAATTGCAGATGGGTTGTCATCATATATATCAAATTATACAATTATTTTAATAACTTTAATTTTATAACAATATTCTCATATTGATTGCAATGTTTTTAATATTAGTAGAAGGGGCCGGTTAAGAGTAGGGCACGTACTTAATACTACCCTGGCGACTTGCGCGTAACAATAAAGCCGACCCTGCACACGTAAAACACTACCGTAACATCCTGTATATAACCTTTAAAAAAAGGCACTACGAGTCCGACAGCTGTACCAGCGCCTATTTAACTACCCAAATTAATTAATACCTACTTATTATTTCTATTATGGTTCTGACCATTTAAATGTCGCAATCCAAAGTATTTATTATTTCTGTTTTGCTTGAAACCTTCTTGGAATGTTGCATTAGAAAAATTACAGCTATGTAATTCATTTTCCTCTCCATCTCTTTTCACATCTGCTGAGCACATGGCTCATCAAAATATTCCATTTTACGAATTTCGATGAAAAGACAGAATGAGATAGCAGACAGTGCAAGTGAGAACGAAGAGCTGCGGTAAGGCAGTTGCGCCGTGGCGATGCGATTCTGTGTTCACCACGTAACGAACGAACGTACGAAAGCTCCGAGACGCTTCGGTCGGCGAAGTTACGGCTCGACCTTAAGTGGTATTCTGAGCGCTCATCTATAACTTTTCCTAAAGTCAATCCCGCTGCCCTCTAAAATTTGACAGAAAGCGCGCGAGTTTCAAATCTATGGGTTCTTCAATTATCCAAATATGCATCAAATATGTATTAATACTTATTATTTCAATTTCGGTTCTATACTGACGTTTGAAAAGTCGCAATCAAAAGTTGTTATTATTCATTGTTTTGATTTTAAATAACCTTTGAAGGAACGTAATCGAAAAATATAAATAATCTTATACATGCTACGTATTTGGCTCATTATCAGCAAATACTTGTAAAAAAGTGAAAAAATATTCATTTCAAATTTATTGGTTTTGCAAGTTTTTTTTTTTTGAATTTGGACATTTTTGCTTAAAACCGTGGAACTTGCATTTGAAAAATGCAGATACACTCGATGCGTGCAAGTCTTTGTCATCCTCATCTTTTTTCACATCTGCTGAGCACACGGCTCGTCAAAATATTCCACTTTACCAATGAATAGGCAGACTGAGACAGCAGACAGCGAGTGCGGGTGCGAGTGAGAACGAAGAGCTGCGGTAAGGCAGTTTCACCCGCGCCAAGAGAGCAGCGCATGCGTATGACATGTTATGAAAGCTATCGGCACCCTCGAGCTGCTCGGAAGATTGGGGCGATCTGTACCCTCCAAAAGACCGCAGTTGGCCGCTCAGAATCGCAATTTGCGTTCGTTCGACACTACGGCATTTCGTGTGCTGCTCAGAATGACACGTGAGACAGAAGAGGTAAGGCAGTTGCGTCCACGCCAAGTAAGCAGCGCATGCGTGAAACATGTTACGAAGTCTATCGGCACCCTCAAGCTGCGCTTAACTTTGACCCGAAGCGTACCCTTCAATAGACCACAGTTGGCACTCTGTCTTTCGCTACGCGGCTTCGTGTGCTGCGCAGAATCGCACCGTTAATAGCAGCAACAAGTTTATCACGTTAAAATGGTGTAAGTACAAAAAAACTTGTTTACATATTTCATTTTATTTATTTTCCACTTTATTCTATATTTAGAATAGTTGAAAAATATTTATTTATTAAAAGTTATACGTGATTTTTGTGGATTTACATTTATATAATATAAAGTCCAGTTTATGAAGATGCCCTCAGGGCGAAACATGTCAACTCAAATATATAAATGTAAATCCACAAAAGTCACGTATAACTTTTAATAAATAAATATTTTCAACTATAGAAAAATGGATTACGTATTCAACAGTGAAAGTAATAAAGAAAATGTATATTTATTAGTAAACGCAAGCGTTCCCTCAATACTTCGGCCACTCAATACGAAATATATCTCTGCTTGATAGAGAGTGATAGTGCTTTTCGGAGTGGCATAATAAATCCAACGATGCCGCCGAACTATTTAGACCAGTGTTGGGAGGACCTAACAAACAAATTAAATTCCTGCGGTAACGGTCCAGTTCTAATAAGCGATCAATGGAAGAAAAGGTTCGGCGATTGGAAGTACTGCATCCGTGCGAAATGCAAAAAGGTGATCGCCTACCGGAAGGCTACGGGTGGTGGCCCACCTGGTTGTATGACGATGACGACATTGGAGAAGCGGGGAATGGCAGCCTGGGGGATGACCGAACTTACCGAAATTGAAGAGGTCCCTCTGGAAGATTCGGAGGAACCCAAGGCGGAGTCAAAAACTCCAAGTATTTTGGCTGCAATGCTTCAATGCGAATCACCAACAATAGCGACCGCCAATCCCCAATCCGATACCCACCAAAAAAGTGACCAGAGCACACCATCAGAAATGACCAAATCTACACAGACGGAGTTAACCACCTGCACAGATTCAACTGACGCGACACGGGCGACAGTGGCTATTCAGGCACTAGGTGAGCGGATAGATAGACTCGTAGTGGCGTTGGAGAAGCTGCCCGACGTTGATAGGCTCACAGTGGCCATTGAAAAGCTGGCCAACGTTGTAAATACATTAGCAAAATAAATATATGTTAGAATTACGAAATGTTGTTTCTGTTTTACTTCTTTTATTCATTAATACAGAGCGATCGGATCTTAATTGTGAACAGTTTACAACGAATGCCGGAGCACGAGTCAGTCAAGTTTCTTAGGAGACGCATGACCAGCGACGCAAGTCGCTGACATAAATAGAAAGACCCCTCATCGGTGATGTGACTCCATGTCCACAGGGTGTTCTGCATGTCGTTGGTGCATGGTCATATACGCAACCTTACATATATGTATAATCAAGTAATATCTATATTATCTATATATATAAAATTTGCGTGTCACAGTGTTTGTTTCCATACTCCTCCGAAACGGCTTTACCGATTTTTAGCAAATTTTATATGCGTATTCAGTAGGTCTGAGAATCGGCTAACATCTATTTTTCATACCCCTAAGTGATAAGGGTTGTTCACCCTTAACTTTTTTTTTAATTTTCGGACAAATTCTTTTGTTTTTTTTTTATATAATGTGGCATTAAAAAATACATACAACCCTAAATTTTTAGTTTTTTATCACCAACCCCTATTTCTTTATAGTCATTTTAGTAATTTAATCATTTTTCATGCCGCTCGAAAGAAAATTTTATATGCGTAGTCAGTAGGTCTGAGAATCGGCTACTATCTATTCTTCATACCCCTAAGTGATAAGGGTTGTTCACCCTTAATTTTTTTTAAATTTTGGACAAAAAATTTTGTTTCTATTTTTATGTAATGTGACATTAAAAAAAAATACATACAACTCTAAATATTTACTTTTTTATCACCAACCCCTATATTTTTAAAGCTATTTTGGGAATTTAAAAATTTGGAATGTGGCAGATTTTGTTCCTCCCTATTTTATAGTCGGTGCAAAAAATTCTCCTGAACAGAACAGTCACTCCGTTGACAGGGTGCTTCCACGAACTTTCGCAACCCTTTCAAGAACAAATTATATTAGTGGGACCCACTAAAACACCCCGAATTGTGTCACATGCAATACTTAGTGATCATAGATAATTAACCACTTTACACAAAAAACGAAATGAATCAAAGAAAACTGAGGAATTTGTTTCGTTTGTCAGTGGACAAAAGAAAACTCAGTAGAAAGCGCAAAACACCATATAAAACAATAAATCAAAAATAAGTCGAAGAAAGCTGCGGAATTTGTTTCGTTAATCGATTGAAAAAAGAAAACCTCAGCTTTTCTCCGTTTTCCCGGTAATTATTAAAATTTTTGTCGCTGTAAAAACTACCCTTAGACTTTAACGAACATTTTAAATGAAGAATTGGCCAAATTGGTCGAGGTGTTGTTGGGTGAAGCGGTTAACAACACATTTTGCGATTCATTTTTATATTAGACATAATAAAATTATTAATCTGAAGTGTATTTGGCACGATTAGTTCAGTTAATCAAGTTTTACATACTTACACATTTATAATATGTAAGTTACTTTCTGCCAACACTAGAATTTATCTAGAAACTAAAAATAATTTATATGGCAAAACAACGTTTGCCGGGTTAACTAGTAAATATATAATTTTTTTTATTGAATGTTTCCTATATTGTATTTATTTTTAATTTTGTTGCTCGAAATTACGGTTCGATGGTTATCAATGCATTGCAAGTTTATATTTGTACTGGAATAGAACAGCCAAATAGGGAAACTGCAATTTGCTGAAAGATTTCAAGAGCAATAATCTTATTAAATATCTATATTAATACTATAGTAGTCGGCAACGGCCATACCACGTTGAATATACCGGTTCTCGTCCGATCACCGAAGTCAAGCAACGTCGGGCGCGGGTAGTACTTGGATGGGAGACCGCTTGGGAACTCCGCGTGCAGTTGCCTTTTTATTTATAACAATAATTATTGATATTTTATATCATTGATAACCGTGTCTCCTTTAGATGTCAATGCATTGCATTTTAATTGTAGAAGTGACTCGATTCTGGGCACTGTGTGAAGGTGGCGGTAGAAGTGACTTGATTCAGGGCAACGTATGAAGGTAGCGATGGATTTGACCTGATAGAGGTAGTTAAATAACCGCAATAAATGAGTATTTAGACGATTTTTATTAACTGAAATGATATAGGTATATAATTTGAAAAGTAAATGATTAAAGACATAAAATTTGAATGTTTTTTATGCTTTTTTGTACTTTTTAAAGAGACTTGATGCAATTTTAAAGAAAATATGTGATTTTATGACGAATATATACTTTCTTGAATATTTGCATTAAAGTTGCAACATTTAGTTAATTTATTTTGAATTAATACATTCTAGCGATATCTACATTTGAAGCTTTGAGTTATGTATAAAAATTGCTATTCGTTTAGATAGAGTGGTGCACGCACGAAGTATAGATACCTATAAGGAGTCCGAACGTAATGTTAAATTAATGGTCACGATCTAGGGGACCAAACATTCGCCAATAGAGCGCGCCACTATGCGTTAGTGTACGCGTTTAAATACTTACATTACTATGGACACCGCCAATATTTCACAAGATACATGAAATTATGACATATTTTTAAATCTTTGGGCTATTAGTTATAAATTAATTGTTTATAACACATATTTTTCTAAGATATTACTCACCTTTGATGCTTTGAATAAAACTACTTTTTCTACCTTTCCTCACTCAGTCTTTCGGCCACTAAAAACATCCTGAATAAAGGCACAACACCTTCCCATTTTTTAACACTACTAATTTTCAATAAATAAATTAGTAAAGAAAATAATACTATTACGTTCCAATTCAAATTAATGTATACATATATAAAAGTTAACAATATGGATAACGCATTCGACAAAGTTAAAAAATATATTTTTAAATTTAATTGAATTCAATTAACATTCACAAAACCAGCACGTGTTCACGTAATAATAATCACGAAGTATCTAAACACAGGAACGTCATGTAAACAATTATTCAATGCTATGAACACGAACCAACGTACATCGATTCACTAGTGATTCAAGCGCAGCAAGTGGCAGAAAAGAGAACTATTAGCTTCTATATAATTGTGAACCATGACTACGACGAAAAGCCTTATACCGTTCGGACTTTATATCTATATATATACTTCGTGTCGCGGCGAACAATAAAAAACAAGTTGATAGCACGCGCCATCTGCAATACACACGCAGGAACGGAAAGAAAATTGACGAGTTTGTCCAGTCGGCGCTGAATTATTATCATCAATAAAATACCAAATATGAGTAACAACGAAATGCAGTCGATGGACCATCGAAACTAGGAGTTCTGAAGGATGATGCCCACAGGGCGAAACAATATGTTAAACTTCCTTACAAATTGTAAAATCCAAAGAAAATCACAAATTATTTTATCAAATGTAAACGGGGAAATTCCCCTTAATCGGAAGTCTAGTGACTGCACTTTTCTGGTTGGCAATGAATGAGTGCGGAGAGCATGACAATTATATTTAGACGGTCACGGCAATTATTACCACTGGATAGGTATAAATATATCAAAAGAGCCTTGAGTTAAGCGATTCGTACCCAGACTACAAGGGGTTACTCTGTTTCGTTCAGACTAAACAAATGTAGACTAAACATCCTTGCCGGACCGAGCGTACCAACACAAAGCCCAGACGATGAAATGCACCCCACAGTACCCCCCTGCCAGTGATAATGATACACAAAGATTGTTCTCTGCTATGCACAAAAAAAAATAATAATTGAATTGAACATATTGCAAATAAAAAACATTTTCGAAACAATCTCTTCGTCGATGCGCCGTTGTAGTCATACCGGTGGCGGCATGTGCTGTCATATTGGCGGTGGATATGGTGATGGTCTTGCCCGTGACGAAGTCACGAGCCCCGGTCTGGTGGAGGTTGGTAGTCTATGCTGCAGAGGTGGTGTGCGCGTCATACGGAGATCAGGAAAACCCAGCCTGATAACGGTCTGGAAATCGTACCTGCCTCCTGGGTCTTGTACGTCGAGAGTTGTTGACAGCGACTTGCGGATCCTCCGGAATTGGTTGGCGTTCCTCTTGTTGACGGACCTCTGGTTGGACTGCCGGCCTCATTGGACGCCCACGTCGTTGAACTGCAACGACAACGTCATCGTCTGGTTCCTTCAATTCCGGCTCCTCACATGCATTCGATATAATGTACGCCGGCTTCAAACGATCAATTGAGACCGTCACATGTTTGCCTTTAATATTGATGACGAAGGACTTCTCTGCTCTACTAATTACAGGATACGACCCCGTGTATGGATGTTGGAGTGGCTGCTTGGTTCCATCATAACGCATTAATACGTGACTGGTCGTGGCAAGGTCCTTAAAAACAAAAATTCTCTTGTTACCATGATAAGTCACAGGCGCTGGTTGCAACTGTTGGAAGTGCCCCCTCAGCTGGTTAATGAAGGTAGCCGCATTGGTGTCATCACTCTGTGGTACACGTGATGCCAGAAATTCGCCAGGAAGTCGTAGAGGTTGACCGTACACCATCTCAGCGATTGTGGCGCCCAAGTCCTCCTTCCAGGCTGACCGGATACCTAACATCACTATCGGTAGTGCCTCGGTCCATCGGTCTTGGTGACATCGAATTGCTGCTTTTAGTTGTCGGTGGAACCTCTCGACCATGCCGTTTGCTGCCGGGTGATATGCCGTAGTCCGTATTTGTGTTGTGCCCATAATTCTGTTGAGGTGTTTGAACAGACCAGACTCAAACTGTCTACCTTGGTCGGTAGTCACGCGCAGTGGAACACCAAACCGTGCGATCCAGTTGTCCACGAACGCTCGGGCGACTGTTGATGCCTCTTGGTCTGGTATGGGAACTGCTTCTGGCCAGCGTGAAAACCTATCAACTATAGTCAAACAATAACGGTTTCCATCGCAATAGGGCATAACAATCAAATCGATGTGCACATGCTCAAACCTGCCAGATGGTGGAGCAAATGATCCCACAGGAGCTGAGACATGGCGAGTTACCTTCGACCGTTGGCATTCCACACAAGCCCTGG